TCACGGAAAAATGCTGAGAAGGAAACCGTTTTCAAGTTGTTCTTAACGATTTCTTCTGGCAACTCCAGAAGAGTTGTCAAACTACGAATGTCTAAAATAAATATCGGCAGACCGTCCAGTGTTCAAGTGTCTACTTTCCTGTGAATCTTTAAATACAACTTCTCCACTCTCTACTGGGTTTGTGTTGTGTTTTGTGTTGAGAGTCTGAAAATTATTTTCCTCTTACCTTAGAATTTTTCAAAAGAGTGTAGAGGCTACAGATAAAGAAAAATCACAAACGCTGCTAATACCTGATGGAGTCATTTGAATGTGCTGAACTTTGTGCTAGCTAGGTTTTTCTTAAATCCAGTTATATCTTCTCAGCAACTCAAACTTTAAAGTCTGTTTTTGTGACTGGACATATTTATAGATTAAAATGTATGAGGAGATCTACTTGACTTTAAAGTTGTAAAAGTAGTTTCCAGAGTGTAGGTGGGGGAATAAAAAAGAAATCCCCTGTTAACTCTATTGCCCATTGACAACCTGCACCAAAATGTTTTTGTCAGGGATGGGAAGTAACACAGAATTGTGTTCAGAACGGTGGTTATTTTAGTAAGCTAGAGGAGTGGACATATTTAGGATTATGAAACACTTCATGGATATTATAGACCACTATAGCTTTGATTTTGGAAGCAGGAGTGGCATCCACTACCTAACAACATGCCTCTGGAAACTCTATGAACTTTGAGAAACAACAATAGGCATCAGGTCTTTTGTTCATAGGGTCGCTATGAGTCATGCTCAACTCGATGGCAATCAACAACAACATGGCTTCGATGGATTGACACAATGACTGCAGCAGTGGGCTCAAGTGTGGTGCAGATGAGGATGGCATAGGACAGGAAAGGGTTCAGGTCTGTTCTTCACAGGGTCACTATGACTTGTGCTCAACTTGACGGCATCTAACAACACAGCTTTTATAAAATGTCCTGGTTGCATAGTAGGTTAACACGTTGCCGCACACTTTTAAATTGATGACCGTGCTTAGAAACACATTTTTCCCCCAATGTTTTACCATCATTTGCAGCAACATGTTAAGTGTTAGGCTAACCAAAAGGTTAGGGGTTCAAATCTTCCAGTTACTGCGGAGAACACTAAGGCAATCTTCTAATAAAATGTGCAGCCTTAGAAATCTGAGAGCCGGTAGTCATGAGTTGGAATTGACTTGATAGCAGTGGGCTGGTAGCTTCTAGGCCTGAAGTATGTATGGAGTGAGGTGAAGGGGTGGGGGTGGGGGACACGAGAACATCTAGATATTGTGAACACATCACTACAGACAAGAAGTTCTGTTAGGGGTGGGAACTAAATATTTTACGAGATGAGGCCACAGCACCATTTCACCTTTAGTACTTCATCGGGTGCAGCCAAAGGCTTCCATTTCATCTAGCTCTTTACTAGCAACTGTAGCCTTAAAGAGATGCCTCCCGGGGTGGAAAAAGAAATAAAAATGTAAAATTTTAAAATAAATAAAGGACTTGACACACTGTAATCATTTAGGGAGAGCAGATCTTGGGAATCCAGATAAAAGAAATCAATCCTCCTACATGTGTCGGGCAAGAATGAAGAGTGGCCAGCAAGCCATCAAGGCCATCTGCAGAAATCCTATAGCTTGTTCAAAGTACCAATTTCATACTATTCAAGTTGCTTCTATACAAAGGTTAAGACGGTCAATGCACATTTATTACTGTCAGGTACATAGTAACCTATTTAGATGTACTTCACTGGGTTAATGAAATGAGTAAGTGAAGGCTTGAGGGAAATCCTATTGTGGCACCACATAGGTGGACAGCCCTGCTATGTGGCCTCTCTGGGAATATTGACACCTCATACTATACACTTTGTCTGCTAGCACATTAAGGTATCGCACATACAAGAAGAGGCCCTCCATCCATGGGAGATGCTATTTGATGAGGCACCACCAGCATCAAAGTCAGTCCAGAGCTGACTTTTACTTGGAAGATATGCAAAATGCTGGTCTTGAACGCTGAAATGCAAATTTCAACACCTAGCTCCTTGACAAAATGTTATTTGGCTGACAAGAAAGGGAATTAACAAAAGAGATAGGAAGTACCCTCACAATGACGGTGGCTACATTTTCGTAATATGTTAATTATAGCTCAGAAAAGTTGATAATAAAAGAAAGTTTGGAATACATGAGTTCTGCAATCTCCTGTCATCGTCAAGTTCCATTATCTTCCCCAGTCAGGTGCTTTGCCCAAGGTCACAAATAATGCCAGATTACCAACTGAGAGCTCACCATTGCATCAGAGCTGCTGAGAAAGAGCTGAAACATGATGATAAAAAGGGCATTCTGTTCTTGTGGAAGATGCAATCACCTGTTTGTTGATAGTCCATAATGAGCTTTTTATCAGTCATCTTTGTGATTTCTTATTACAGAAAAACTCAAACGAAGATGTAGTTTGAAACGAAATGGAAAGACAGCCATGGCACATTACTGTGAGGTAGGAGAAAAAAGCAAGGTATGAAGGAGAACAGTCTAACTTTTATATATTAAAAAACATAGTTGTACAAAGACTTTTTTTTTGGTACCTATTAGGTTATGGTGGTTTGAGTCCACGAACTGCTCCGTGAGAGAAGGATGGGCAGTCTTCTCCCATGTGATTTACTGCCTTTGAAAACCCGCCAGAGGATCAGCTATGAGCTAATTTCTGACTTGACAACAGATAATTATTCAACATATTTAAGAGGTGGGTTACATAGGCTTTACCTTGCCTTCCCCTCTCATATGCTTGTAGTTCTCAACTTTTAAAATTTATGAACAAGCATTAATTTTTTTTAACAGTGGTGACTGAAAAACGATTGATGGTCAACTCTATGGTATTCAAACTAGAGATCACTGTGATTAGAGTAGGGGAAGTCACGAGTGGCTGAGCCCATGTAACCTGGAAGCCCAGGAACAAGCTTCAATTAGTTCTTTGATGACAGAGTTCTGGTTTCCCTTGACAAATCAGAGACAGACTCTGACAGTGCTGAGCTAGTACAGTTGCGTAACCTGGCATGGCCTCTGCCCACTTCCAACAAAGCCTTCGATCTCCTTTTCCTCCAAATGCCCAAGCCCAACCTGCCTAACACACAAGAGGCTGGCTTGGGGATGTTCCTTGCTATGTGCTCCCACCCCAAATCACTCCAGTTTGGGATCAACAGTGCAGCATTACTAGCCCAAAACCTTCTATAGAAGCTGGAAATGCAGTACTTACAGATTACTTGATTCAAATTATCTTTTTCTTTTTTGCAATTGTTAGACTCCGCAAAAATCAGAGGCACTAACGGACAGCCAACCCATCCAATGGTGCCCTGAGTGAAGACAAGCCACGTTTGATCTACGATGGACTAAAATCTCACTGCCGAAGGCTCTAAGCAGTAAGAGGAACAGCCATCGAATCAAATGCTTGTTAAATTTGGAAAAGTGTGTGTTTTGTGTATGTGTGTCCACACTGCTACTGAAATGCTATAATATTATTTCAAATACAGTATCTGTGAGTAGTAGAATTATTATAGGTGGCTTCCCCTATTCTCTTCACTCATTCTCCCCTATGATTTGCTATAGTTGTGCTGTGTACTATCAAGTCAGAACCGACCCATAGCTGACCCTCCAGTGGGATTTCAGAGGCAGTCAACTGAACGGGAGGAGACTGTCCATCCTTCTCCGGTGCAGCAGATGGTGGCCTCGAACTGTGTGCCTTCAGGACTACAGCACAGCTTCTTGCCACTAGGAGACCAGAGCTCCAATTTTCTGTAAGGAATTTATTATTTGAATAAATATTAGCAGGATGATTTTTATCACCAGTAGCTCCTACTCCATTCCTTGGGGGTCTCTATTGCTATATTACACTAACTTAAGAGCCCAGAGCGGCAGCAACAGATACACACAAAAGCACACACCACGAAGATAAGAGTATTTCCATTTAAACTTCCTGATCTCCATGGGTTCTGGTATACAACTTTAAATCCAAGGAGTTCACTGCATGAGTTTTAGTCTATAAAATATGTCCATTCACAAAAAAAAATTAAAAATGTTGACTTTAGACTTTATTTTTTATAGTGGAGAAACAATGACTAACTTTTCTGATAAAGAAAATCAGCTAGCCACAATTTAACAGAATCCATTTCATATTCTTCTTGGCAGATCTAAAGTCCCACAAAGCAGACTTTCAAGCAGTGTTAAAAATATTAGTAGCTTCTTCTTATCTGAAGGCTGTGCACCTGCTCAAAAATTCCATGCTATGAGGGGGAGAAAAGAACAACACAAAAACCCAAACACCTCCAAACCAACAAACTGGCCAGCTCCCACACAAACACCAGTGAAGCCATGTGTTCACAACGCAGACGTCTCCAGCCTTATGAATTGTGAGCACTGAAATGACAGCATAAAAACCTCCTCTACACAATATTTGTAGTTCGGCAAAATTGTTGCCTGTTGGTTCGAGTCTACCAGATGCTCCGCTGGAATAGGAGAGGCAATCTCCTCCTGTGCCAGTCGGATCTGCAAGTGTGTGTTTAAAAAAAAAAAAAAGGTGTTGCCTGCTTTTCACACAGAAGAAATTAATAAGAACTTGAAATCCTTGTCTTTCTTGGTAGAAGTAATTGTGGAGAGTTATGTGTGTTGATTTTGGTCAAGTTTTTTAATTTGCTTTTGGTTTTTGGTGGTATTTTATCCTCCCCCCCTCCCATTCTCTTAGGCACCAAAGTAAACTACAAAGACCTTTAAACCCTCTCAGGTATCTTCAATTGTCAGCAATCAAAGAAATTCTAAAAGAACTTTTTCTAAAGAACCTCTAAAAAGAGAAAACTGATTGTCAGTTTAAGAGAAGGTTAATACCTTTCACCATTTAAGTAAGTCCGTGATATATATTTAGACAACAAATGACATATATTACAAACTACTTTTCTTTAAAAGGCATCTGTCATGTAACACAGAGCAAACAGGTCCACGTTCTTACCTAAAGACTGGTAGAGCTCTGTCATTTTGGGATGATCCCAGCAAGTTGTTTGGGTCTCGTGGCTAAAACATAAAATAAAGAGAGACTTTAGAATTGATCGTGGGTAGTCAAGAAAGGAATTTTTTTTTTTTTAAAAAAAAAAGCAAGTTCTACTTTTGAATTAGTCGGCATCTTAACTTCAAAGGACTTCCCCAGTCTAGGCAAGAATGTTTATCTTCCAAGCATAGAAGCAGTTATCTTCATTTTCAAAGGAGAAAGCAAATGAGAACATTATTTGGCTCCCAAAGTAACCAGAATGCTGTTTCCTTTTTTATACCTACAAATTGGTTTGCACTCTTGTTATAATAATAAAACGACCTTGTCACACAACCGTTAATCCAAACCAGGACTTTTGCACTGGTTGAAGGGGGATCGTACGGAAAGGACACAGATCCTTGTTATCCAACTCCATCCAAGAGATCCTGGGCTTGAGCTGGAGACGCCATTCTCTTCGCTTTTTATTTGGATTCACTTCCCCTGACACTTTTCCAGTACACCTGCCTCTACATCTCCTGATCTCCTACTGTGATACCTGTTTTTCAGCTTAAAACATATCCACAGCCCAGCCAATCCATCTTACTGTTCCTTTTCCTGTTATTTCTACAATGTCTTTAACTCAGTCCCCAACACCCTGCTACACGTCTTCCTACATCGCCTTGGACCTGACTGAAGCATTCACAGATCTCTCCCATTTCTTCGAGTTGAGCTAAATATGCTTGCCTGCTATCAGCTTCTGCAGGGGGAAAAAAGAAAAGGGAAAAAAAGGAGAACAAAACACTTTTGTTCCTCATTCAATTACACGAAAAAACCTGGGTGAGATAACTACATCTACTTTTCCTTACTTTGGCCCATCTACATAAATCACCAGAGCATCCTATTTCCAGTTTTCAGGGATCGTATGACAGACTTGGAGACTCTAAAATGTAGCTTTGGACCGAAATTTTTTAGTACTTAAATGTGAAGTCTACTCATAATTTTTTTTTGAGGGGTGGGGGAAGGTGGGTGTGGAAGGAGGAGAAAGCATTTAAACGTGGGCTGGAGGACTAGAAGAGAGGCATCACACACAACAAGGAGCTTGGAGACTGCCATGTCAAGCACCTCCTTTTTTTAAATACTGGTTTGCTCAGAAAGTTTGTATACATTGTGTTTCACACTGTCCTTCATTCATATTGTGTTTCAAACAATCATTCCCATTCATTATGTTTTATAAAATTAATCACCACTGAACTATGCCCACCATTGCCCTGTATGTCCAGATCCCGGCTGTATCTTTCCCATCTTCTTGACCCCTCCCTACCACCCACCAAACTGTGGGACTCTGATTTACCCCCTGCCCATCTTTACCCCTCTGCTCCTCCCTTCCCCATCTTGGATCCCCACACATGTTTTACTAGTTATCTATTTCTACAATGATCTTCTGCAATATTTGTCCTTAAGGGACTTAGTTCACTCAGCATAATGCCCTCCAGTCTCTCCCAAGTTACGAAGTAATTTTCAAAATTGTTGCTCCTGAAGACACTCCCTCTTGCATGTTTTTCATCTTAAGGATGAATTCTAACTCCATGCCCCATTAACTGTGAGATTCAAGGCAAGCTTATCCCATTACCAGCTCCCCTGGGAGAGTGAAAGTAGTCATTGTTATAGGTCCATGTTTGGAATTTAATACATACTGACTTGTGTTGTTAAATCCAAAATCCACTGCTAATGTAGTCCACTCTGACTCCTAGTGACCCTCTATCAGGTTTCCGGGGCTACAAATCTAAACTGGAGAAGACCAGCCATCTTTCTCCCCACAGAGCAGCTGGTTGTGGATTTGAACTGTGGACTTTTCAGTTAGCAGCCCAATATGTTACACTCTACGATGCTAGGGGCTCCACTGCTTCTATTATTATGGCCTCAAATATTATCCTCCCAAGTCAAGTCATTTATTAGTTGATTACAATTTAGAGGTGGCTCCATCTGTAGTAAAGTTAGTTGGGTCCAAAACCCCTTAGTAGAGATAAAAAACAACATATGACATTTATTATCTCCATTTAAAAAAGATATAAAGGAAAAAGCAGAAAGCATCAATAAAAAAAAAAAAAAAAAGAAAGCATCAATCTCACTAAAATGTACGTCGATTACCCAAATCTTACAATTGCAAAGTCAGCCTCAGTGATACTTCCCATCCAGTGTGATACAATTTACAAGCAAATGTGCACTCGGGAAGGGCCGCATTGGTCTCTTCCGGTGCATTCAATTCTGTGGGCTTACTCTTCTGCAGAGACAATTAACCACCATGAGGGGCATAAGAGGGGCTACTCAGTTTAGGGAGTGTGTGTCAAAATGGAATCCAAGTCTTAAAGCAAGGAGAGAAGATGTGGTCCTGTTTTTACGGCTCTCAGGAGAGCTCAGGACCAAGCTGGTTCAGGATCAGGAGAAGGGGTGGGTGGGACTGGTACTTTATATGCACAGCACAAGGAGGCTGCAGCTTGCAGCTTCGTGGAAAAAGTGGGGCTTGTTCTCAGGCTTGCTTTTTTTTTTTTTTTTTGGCTTGCAAAGTAATTGTGTACCAAATTCCATACTCAAGTGCAGGACAAGGAAAGGTTACCTTCGATTGAGAGCATCCTGGACTCAGGCCTCTGAAAAGGCCGTCCAGGTGTGAGCACACAGAAGGATAAGCGAGAAAATGAAGACGCGTGTGTACCCACATGTCCAGGTTCTCACTGCGGGTAGTAAGGCCCCCACCACCAGTCTATTTGGAAGGACTCTAGCACCTTCCATAGACCGGCAGGAAAATGTTTGTCCGAGCTGATAAAACCTGGCCAGACCGAGAGGGAGAACCATTCTCAGAAGCCACCATCTGGAACAGACTTCAAACTGGAGGTGCACTGGCAGGAAAGAAACTGGCACCAAATGCAGTTTCCCAAATGGAAAGGGAACCAGGCAGGCAGAATAATGGGGGAACCCCCAGACTCAGAGTGAGGGAATAAGAGCTTTATGCTGCCCTACCCCTCCTTCCCAAATCCCATGATTGCCAAAATACCCCCTACCTTTCTACCTGTCTAAGGAATCTGGCCTTTTAAAAATAATGGAAAGGGGTTTAGACATTGTTTGTTTTTTTTTTTTAAATTAGTTAGTCTGTAGCTAGAATGGAGCTGAATATTGAAGAGAAAAATGAAGCCTCGCCTTGAATTTGTGTGTTGTAAACTAGCCTTGTCACAAATACTAATTCTGCAGGTTACCTGTGATTCTAGGAGTATCAATGATGAAAGAACTCGCGCCATTGCACAAGCCCATCCCTCTTTTACCTTCTTCCCCTCTCCAACAAAGCCCATTTCTGTTTTAAGCGATGCAGAGGAACTAGACTTCTTTCACCTGTGCATTCTTAGTTTCAATTCAACTGTAACCAGTGCTAACCAAGAGAAGTGGGCACAAGCAGCACGTGGGGCTGGGGGGGGGGACAAACCAAGCTTAAAAGACGACAGCTTTTCCTCATTTAATGTTGAAAATGAGAGGCAACTAGGGGAAGCAGCTGTAAATGCTTTGGTAACTCCAAGACTAACCCAAGATTCATTCGCATCCCTCTATGTGAATGTTTTTTACCTGGATGGCCTCTGGCCATCTATTTTCACGGCCCCCAAAGTGACATAATGAAGAATTCAGACATTGGTAAACACATATTTGCATCACCCTTCTCCACACTCTCTACCTTATAGGACAAATCAATTTTCTGTCTATAAGCTGAACAAATCTTCCGGCTGTAGCTCTTCGCTCTGTGCCTGCCTCCAGTCTACCGTGCTCAGTAATTCCACGAGAATCAAACCTACGATTACCTAGACTACATGGACAGTAGAGAAAAGCTGGCTGCGCTGAGGAAACACTCCCCACAGACTATCTCCAGCCAAAGAGCAGATTGTACAACCTGTTCACACGTTAATGGGTCCAGGTTTGTTCATTCTTCCTGAGAGCAATTATGTTCAACATACATCACAATTCCGGATGTATACGGACACGCAGACCAGCTTCATAAATAATCCTTTAAAACGCCCATTAAATCTTTTTTTAAAATGTTATTGATTGGGTCCTGCTGTTTTCCAGACCTGGCACCAAAGATACCTCTCCGCAAACTACGATGCCCTCCTCTTATTTGCACAAACCATAATAATCCCCCCTTTTCCTTTTATTTGTGACTGTGGTGGGAAAAGAAAACTCTAAAAAAAAAAAAACACAGGATGTGACAAAAGACCCCCGGTAACACCCACTTGCCAATAAGAAGAAATTAAAGCATTACTCTACTGAGCGCAGGGCTGACCTAATTTCCTACCATACAATTTAAATTTTCTCTCACCTTCTTTAGTTTCAAGTAGTGTGCAAGGTTATTATAACTGCCTCAAAGCTGTTCCTGCTGTCAGTGCTAGAATAATCAGACTTATTGGAATTGCTTTTTTAGTTTCTTAAAAACAAACATTCAACACTTACAGAAAGTAACAAATTTCTACTGCTCTAGCAGGGGAAATGGCAGTTGCCTAATTAAAATGAGATTTCCTCTGCAGCCAGTGTGTTAGGTGGTACTGAAAATATTCCACACACACACACACACACTTTTATATACTTGTAATATTTTACATATATATGTATCCACTACTTCCCAGAGAGGAAACTAATGCTATGCAACAATAGGAAAAGGTAACATTCTCTCAGAGGATTAGAGATGGGCTTCATATATAATCTGGAGCCCATAGATCCATACACACAAAATTATTTCCCTTTAATCTGGGGATCAGACTTTTTTTTTTCTAGAGGAACCTTGGCATTTACATGCTGCATATTGGATTTGGCTTGCTCTGCTGGAATACTGGCAGGGAGGAGATGGGGAAAGGTATTTCAAAGTTTCTGCTACTGTGAGGAGGGGGTCTGAGGAGATCTAAGGATCAGAAATCCCATGCTTCATTCACATTTCTTGTTCCCTGGGCTATTTACCATTTTATTCTGTTTGGCTGCAGCCAGGGCAAAGATGATTGCCTTAGTGGCGGTTCCAGCT